GGGGGGGGGGGGGGGGATGTATTTGCGAAAGCTGCGCTTGTTGCTTGGCCCCGTGAGCCCTTGCGACACCGCATGTATTTTTGCACCCCTCTTTCCCTTGCGAAACCTGTCTTCGACATGTACTTGAAGCACACTCAATGTACCTGCCCGATATCGATATCGCTCTCTAAAATGGCCCCGGACCACACTTCGGTACCCCGACTCTCTCCGTCGACCGGCCGACCGGACGTGGCGCTGAACGAGAGAAGAAGGTAATAGTTATCGGGTCGAAGGCATTAGTCGGGTTCAGGGCACACCTCAGCGCCGGCTGTACCGTCGGCAATGATGCAATGGTGAATCAAGTCAATGATGATTGTTGTTTGGGTTAGGTTTGTTCACGGCTTGCATGCTTCACTTCTTGACACAGCGTCCTTGTGTTGGACGCGACTTGGTCTGACCCCAACAGCTCCAGTGGGCTTTACATGATGTGAAATTCTGCCTGTGCATCCTCGATCTGCAGTAGATCGAGATGAACCTATGTCGTGCCTCCACATGTCAGTGGATCCTTTCGATCGTACACTGTTTGTGTAAAAGTGCTATAATTATTCGCATTCTCCACGTGGATAACTTCCAGCCGGCCGTTTGTCTCTTGTCGACCATGTTTTCTGTCCAGCTTGGTGGGTACTTCAAGCTAAGGCCTAGAGAACATCTCCCCGACGGATCGGTGACGACGTGCGACCAGCAAGGTGCCTTCCAACTTCGTGGGACTGCCCGCACCTCGCCCGCACAAAGCGATGTCCATGAAGGTGAGTTGTAAAATTGTAGTTACAGCAGTCTCGACGGCTTTGGTGCGTAGAGCAATCTTCTACAGGCTAGTTGGTGTGATCTTGCTACACCGAAAACGACACATCCTCCTCAGCAAAATCTTGAGAAGTGCTGTTCTGTTCTGCAATCATTACCTTCCGTGGTAGAGGAGGAAAGGGTGTACGATGCTTCTTGACCACGAGCCCCGCTTTGTATGTACTCCGCCGTCGAAGATTCCGGCGACGCTGTCAGGGCGGACTTGATCGACGCAGCGTGCACCGTGGGGGCTTGCTCCCTCAACATTCTGGCCTTGGTGGCGTCTTTCGAGGCAACCAAGCTAGCGGCATCTCTGTGGTCGAGAGGCGATTCCTTCGACACGAGGGTTGCCGTGCTTTCGACGGTGGCCTTGGTCGTGTGGGCACTTGCCTCGGCTATGCTTCTTGCTGTCTTCAAGTGGGTGTTCGTCGGCGACTTCTGCAGGATGCTTCCCGAAGGTACGCGGTAGTGATACTGGACTTTACTCGATGAATACAACGTTTTGAATCGATTATTTGAGTAAATAGTTTGTTGTAGCCGAAATACCTCACCTTTCGCCTCACTGTTGAATTCTCTCCGAGAGCATCTCGCTTTCTCCCGACGTTCGTTTGTTTGCAGCGTTGGTATTGACGTGGTGTACAGCATTTTTCTCCCGGAATGTACGTAAATTGTTCCGAAAGCAAGCCATTCAGTCTCCATATACGCAGTTACCGGAATGTGATGGAAAACAACGCTTGATGGAGGGGGCGATGACTGGCGTGGTGTGGTTTTCTTTGTTGAATGCCATCGTTGACTCTTACGCTTTTGACATGATACAAACCTTCACTGCATCGCAACCCTGGACAACAGCACGCACGGGTACAGTAGAACCACGAACAAAATCCCGAACCTAAACGCCGTGGTCACCGTTCGCCAAGCCTTCGTTCCACGTGCAGACGGTGTACATGAAAGGCGGGCAATTGATGTCACAAGCACAGCGAGAAGGAAAACACATACAACACCCACCACGTCGTCTTTGTGCATGTATGTACGCCTTTGCGCACGTTGCCTCGATGACTCACTTTTTGTGTGAGCGAGTCGTGATGGGTCATGGCAAAAGGTATTTTCTGCAATCTATATTGGTATTTGCAGTCTTTCGCATGGAACCTTTTTTTTGTGTTCTTGCTCCACGCGGAGGATAGACATTGTTGTCGATAATGGCCTGTCTTTGCGCTCTTCGGCATGTGACCAATTTGGGGGAGGCCCCCTTTAGCATGTCGGTTCTACTCACAAGAGATTTACCACCACACGGGTGTGTCGTAAGTCGTACCTGGTATGCCGCAAAACGAGAACTAGCATCACAATATTTCACACTTGCTTTGTCTTGGAACAAGGGACACCGTTATATCGTACACATACATTGCCGGAAGTCCGGTGTTCCTGCTATACACCATACCTTCAGATAGAGGCTTGCCCCGCGGCACGAAACACGTCATCTCTACAGCTCATGGTGGAAACATCCCCACCCTACACAAAACACTACTTTCCTTCCTATCACTGGGCCTTCCTTTTCTCAGTCGCACCCGATCCATTAATCTATCATGGAGTTGCGATGTGTGGCAGCGGCGTAAGCCGCCGACCCCGTGTCACAGTGTACTGATTCCATGGCAACTCATCCATCTCCACCCGCGTTGCTCCCGGTTCTTGCACAGGCCTAAGAGATTAAATGTCCGCCCAAGTTGGGCTACGTATAACAGACATCGAGAGCGGGTCGGGAAGCGGGCAGCAAGAAACTCAACGGCGGAAGCCGAACAAGCTCACGGCTTCGCAGGGTATGCGGTGGCGGTGGATGCATCGCCTCGTCTACTTCTCTGTGTTCGAGACGCACATTCTCAACACCGTCCTCAGAGGAACGTGGCTCCTCAACGTCTGGCTAAGGCTCATGGGTGCAGACGTTTCCATGAGCGCCCTGATTCTAGGCAAGGTGGCAGACCACGGCATGGTGAAGGTAAGACGACGGTTGGTTGTGTTGGGCAGGGTTCAGTGACGCCAGACTCCGGGTGATGGTACGGTTGTGCCTAACGCGAACGCGAGCGCTATCACACACAGTTACCCCTCATCAATCATGGCAACACTTGGGCAAGCCAGCCTTCAAGTATTGCCTTGTTGTTTGCCGAAGACTCCTGTGTTCGCCCCCATCTTCTACTCACGTGCCCACCCCCACGCCACGCAGGTTTGCAAGGGGTCCATAGTTGCTGGGGTTCTCCATGGGCACTGCGTCACATTTGTCGACGGAGTCTCGTCCCTCGAAATGGCGCCTGCTTCTTAAGTCAGGTATGTCGGCGCAGATTGCTTGGTTTGCGAACGAAGCGTCCGGATTATATCTGAGAGAGCTTCGACTCATTCCTCTCCGTATACCCCCCACGCCGCCGCCTTTAGCTGCCTTGATCGTACTGTGCTCAGTAATTACTACACACGATAATTTATTTTATTTCGGGGGGGGGGGGGGGGGGGGG